AAAAATAACCAAGGCCGAACACAGTGGATCACGCCTGTAATTCCAGCATTTTGGGAGGCCAATGCAGGTGGATCACTTGAGGTCAGGAGTTCAAGACAGCCTGGCCAACATCATGAAGCCCCATCCCTAAAAAAATATAAAACTTAGCCAACCTGAGTGACAGGGTGAGAATCTGTCTCAAAAAATAAAAATAAAAAATAGGCTGGGAGCAGTGGCTCACGCCTGTAATCCCAGCACTTTGGGATGCTGAGGCAGGTGGATCACTTGAGGTCAGGAGTTCGAGACCAGCCTGGCCAACATGGTGAAACCCCGTCCCAGCTAAATATAAAATTTAGCTGGGCATGATGGCAGGCGCCTGTAATCCCAGCTACTAGGGAGGACGAAGCAGGAGAACTGCTTGAACCTGAGAGGCAGAGGTTGCAGTGAACCAAGACTGTGCCACTGCATTCTAGCCTGGGCAACAAGAGCAAAACTGTCTCAAAAAAATAAATAAAAATAAAAATAAATTAAAAATATAGTATTGAGGAAGCCTACAAGATCATGAAAACTGGCCAGGCATGGTGGCTCACGCCTGCAATCCTAGCACTTTGGGAGGCCGAGGTGGGTGGCTCACCTGAGGTCAAGAGTTCAAGACCAGCCTGGCCATCATGGAGAAACCCCATCTTTTTAAAAAAAAATTAAAAAATAATAATAAAAAAAGATCATGAAAACTGAATCTTTAAATTCTGGCTAAGATTTTTCACATCCTTAGTCAACCCAAAACATGTTTCCCAAAACATGAACGACAATAAAAGGATACTGCTACTTTCATTCATCCTCTTCCCCACATCCAAAAAAGTCAAAACAATAGTTAAGTTTTACACAGTGTATTGATAATGAAGCGCAATTTAAAAAAAAATAAAATTTTTTTTTAAAAAAGGAATTTTACATAAGATACATCTTTCAAGAACCAAGAGAATAATACCACATGTGAGATGACAATGACAGGGCATGGACTACAAGGCTTACCCGTTTGAGATGAATTGTTTTCAGTGTCACTGCACACTCAGATAAAGCCTGTGAAAAACAAGTTTAAGAATTTTCATGTACTCGATTCTTGTTTAGTGATCCAGCTCTTTACTACCCTGGCCACTGCCAGGGCAATTCAAATAAATGAGAAATATTTAACTCCAGAAAAGGGATAGAAGAAAGAAAGATAACAGGCAGGTGGACTAAGTGGGTTGAATTTAAAAAAAAGAAAAAAACAAAAATACAAACTGTTGTTTTAATGTAGTCAATTACAATTATGAAATCTAGCTTTTACTAGGTTGTGGGAAAGTGAGAAAGCAGAAACTGACATTAGGTACTGTGAAAATGAGAACTAGGGAAACTATCACACAAGGAGGATCAAGTTGCCATTCTGGGCTCTTAATGATTATAGAAAACCACTAAGTGCAAGTTTTAGAATTAAAGTAGTAGTAGGAAACTAATACTCTAGCTTGAAAGAATGTTTGTGCCATATGCCCTTTCATGGTCCTAGAAAAAAATCATGTGTTGAAGCAGCTGATGAATTTGTAAAATTCAGCTGTGGCATTGGGATTGAATAAGAATCCATAAAAAATCCAGAAGGTGTCAATTTTTTAAAAAATGAACCTGATCTGAAATCACTAAATTTAAAAAAAAAAAAAAAAAAAAAAAAAGCAATGAAACATAATATAATCAACCTGGCATTAAACAAGAAACTGGGAATATATGAGATCTACACAAGGTAAACAAAGATTCCTAGGTGCTTACCAATACTGTTTGTGCATCTGCCAGGTCAAAGGTTTGTTTTAAAGGTGCTAGGAAACATGCGGGGACAATGTGCTTATAAACAAAATCAGCAAATCCCACTGGTCCATCTTTACCTCCTGTCAAGAGAATTCAAATTTTCATCTTATATATAAAAGTAAGTCAATTAATTCATCACCAGGGAAAACTAACTCCCAGTTTCTCTCTCTTTTAGGGCTAGGATTCCATTTCATCTCTAAAAGTTTTATGAGACCATCCTGGTCAACATAGTGAAACCCCGTCTCTACTAAAAATACAAAAAATCAGCTGGGCATGGTGGCGCGTGCCTGTAATCCCAGCTACTCAGGAGGCTGAGGCAGGAGAATTGCCTGAACCCAGGAGGCGGAGGTTGCGGTGAGCTGAGATCGCACCATTGCACTCCAGCCTGGGCAACAAGAGCGAAACTCTGTCTTAAAAAAAAAAAAGTTTTATGAAAGAGTATGGAAAATGAATGAAGGTTAAAAAATAAAATTATCTTACCCCAGAGCTCTACCAGCTTTGAGAGGATGATAAAACATGTTTTCTGTGCAATTGGATCTGGATATTCAACTGCTCCTTGAATAACAGTAACAAGTACTCTTTCTACATTCTCTGCACCTGAGGAGATAAACCTTACTTTAATTTCCAAAAATAACTAGGAAAGCAACCTTAAGTTCTTTTTTCATATACATTAACAAATAAACTCATTTACAGGTGGGACAGGAAGAATCAAGAGGGAAAAAACATTTACAGAGTTGCAAAATTCCTTGATTTTTATTAACTGGGCACCTATGTATAAAACACTGAAAACTCCACTGGGCGTGGTGGCTCACGCCTGTAATCCAAGCACTTTGGAGGCCAAGGTGGGCGGATCACCTGAGGTCGGGAGTTCAAGACCAGCCTGACTGAGATGGTGAAACACCGTCTTTATTAAATACATAAACAAACAAACAAACACTGAAAACTCAGCTTGGCACGGTGGCTCCCATCTGTAATTCCAGCACTTTGCAAGGCCGAGGTGGGCAGATAGCTTTAGCCCAGGAGTTTGATACCAGCCTGGGCAACATGGTGAGATCCAGTCTCTACAAAAAATAAAATTAGCCCAGCATTGTGGCAAGCACCAGTGGTCCTGGCTACTCAGGAGTCAGAGATGGGAGGATAGGCCAGGAGGTCAAGGTTGCAGTGAGTCATGATTACACCAGTGCACTCCAGCCTGGGCAATAGAGACCCTATCTTACAAATAAAATAAAATGCTGAAAAATCAAATTGCCCCTTATATTTTGTTCCCTAAATTTCCTATTCAGTAGAATTCTGTACACTAATCTACACAGTTCCATTTATTTTATATTTCAAAATGGCTAATTTACCATAAAGACACAATTGTCAGGTCAATTCTGGCAAACAGCCATGTTATTTATATTGCTGAAGAACCAAATTAAAAAATGCTGCATAGGCCGGGCGCGGTGGCTCAAGCCTGTAATCCCAGCACTTTGGGAGGCCAAGGCGGGTGGATCACGAGGTCAAGAGATCGAGACCATCCTGGTCAACATGGTGAAACCCCGTCTCTACTAAAAATACAAAAAATTAGCTGGGCATGATGGTGCGTGCCTGTAATCCCAGCTACTCAGGAGGCTGAGGCAGGAGAATTGCCTGAACCCAGGAGGCAGAGGTTGCGGTGAGCCGAGATCGCGCCATTGCACTCCAGCCTGGGTAACATGAGTGAAACTCTGTCTAAAAAAAAAAAAAAAAAAAAAAAATGCTGCATAAAGAAAAAAACAGAATACAAATTAATTTTAAGGTGCTTTACATAAAAGTGAATAATTTCCAGCCTGAAAACAATGAACTGTCTTTCCATGAGCTGACAAACTTGAAAAGTTCTACATTTACTTCAGTTTGCTCTTGCTCATATAGATGTACGACGACACAGACTTAAGCAGAAAAATTAGATACAGCATGCGTCCCCACCTTGATTTGCTATAACTTCGCTCATTCCACTGCCAGTGACTGTTTGCAGGAAAGCAAAGTAACTCCTCCGCAACATCTGCTTCTCTAAAGCAGCAGACTGGTCATTTTCTTCCGCTGGCCGGAGTAGCACTTCAAAAATTGCATGTAGCAGGGGCATGAACATCTGTTGTAAAAATGGGGACACCTGTATCTGCAGATAAAAAACGTTACTTCAGAAATTAGTAAAAATATTGATATGCAACTTTGAAAAAATTAGTTTACATAAAGCCTTTCTTATTTAGGATATATACTGTATGTACATAATTCAGTTAGTAAATATCAATTTTAAGATAAAATCTACATAACATAAACATTACTAGGCTGGATGCAGTGGCTCACACCTGTAATCCCAGCACTTTGGGAGGCTGAGGTGGGTGGATCACCTGAGGTCATTTGAGGCCAGCCTGGCCAACATGGTGAAACCCCATCTCTACTAAAAAAACAAAAATTAGCCGGGCATGGTGGCACATGCCTGTAATCCCAGTCCCAGCTACTCAGGAGGCTATGGCAGGAGAATCACTTGAACCCAGGAAGTGGAGGTTGTAGTGAGCCAAGATCGGGAGACAGAGAAAGACTCCATTTCAAGGGGGAAAAATAAAAAATAAAAAATATTATTAACAGCCTCAAGATCATTAAATTTAAACTCTTTCCTACAGCTTAAGATTTAGGTTAAAATAATAGGTAGTCAGACATATTTCACAATAAAATACTGCCATGGAATATTTTCAAATTTAAATTCTCAAAAAATGAATTGTTTTGCTTAATCAATTTATATGATTAAACTCTTAGGGTTTTTTTTTTTTTTGAACAAAGGTAAAAAACATCGTTTAATAGCACCTTCTGAATACTTGCTTACAAAAGAACTGTTGGGTTTTACATACTCTTGGGCAAATCCCTTAACTTCTCCATGCTTCAGTTTTCCTCAACTATAACATATAATGCCTATCTTCTAGGGTAGGTATGAAGATCTAATGAGTAAATGTACAAAAAATGCTTAAAACAGATTCTGAACATAGATAATACTATGTAAATGGCCAGGTGCAGTGGCTCATGCCTGTAATCCTAGCACTTATGGAGGCAGAGGCGGGAGGATCACTTGAGGTCAGAAATTTGAAAACCAGCCTGGCCAACATGGGGAAACATTGTGTCTAATAAAAATACAAAAAGTTAGCCTGGTGTGCTGGTGTGGTGCACGCACCTATAGTCCTAGCTACTTAGGAGGCTGAGGCACAAGAATCGCTTGAACCTGGGAGGTGGAGGCTGCAGTGAGTCATGACTGTGCCATTGTACTCCAACTTGTGTGACAAAGCGAGACTGTCTCCATAAAAAAAAAAAAAAAGAAAAAAAGGAAGTACTATGTAAGCATTAACCACTTTTATTAGACAGCTTAAATGTCCTTCAGAAAACTGACTTTAATACATTGAATTACTTTTAAACTCCTGCAGACTGTCTCAACTATGGGTACCCAAATTATGGTGCTTCTTATTTCTTTAGACATTTATTACTCAATGCTGTTTTTATATGCTCTTCTAGAACAGCAGGCTAGTTGTTTTCTTCTGCTACACAGAGTAGATAGGGTCTGTTTATATTCAAACATCTTTTAAGCATGACCTACGTATCAGGGAGTGTACACAGTGTGCCAGACACCACGGATAATAAAAATACATATGATCCATGAAGCTCTCAAGTAATTCATTATTTTAAAAAAAAAAAAAAAAAAAAGGCCGGGCACAGTGGCTCATGCCTATAATCCCAGCACTTTGGGAAGCCGAGACCACCCTGGCTAACATGGTGAAACTCCGTCTCTACTAGAAATACAAAAATTAGCTGGGTGTGGTAGCACATGCCTATAGTCTCAGCTTCTTGGGAGGCTGAGGTGGGAGAATCCCTTGAATCTGGGAGGTAAAGGTTGCAGTGAGCCAAGATCGTGCCACTGCACTCCAGGCTTGGCGACAGAGCGAGACTCTGTCTCAAAAAAAAAAAAAAAGAAAAAGAAAAAAAGAAAAGAAATGAAAGAAAGAAACTCAACGGCAAAATCCAAAACATGTCTGAAGATAAACACATCTGATCTTTAAGTCAAGAGATTCTTCAGTGCTCTGAAGGTTTGCAGTACCTTGAATTTGGCTGTAATCTGGTTGATAAGAGGAATGAACTCCTGGAGGTCTTTTGCTTCACAATCTTTGAGCATATGCTCTGAAGCAGATGGGATGAATGGAAGAACTTCTTCCTCCAGGCAAATAATCATTCGATGAAGGAAAGTACGGACTCCACTTCTGAGAATATCCTTTTGTAAGGGACAACTGAGGGCTGGCAAGAATGTCTGTAAACAGTCCAGATAAACTTCCGAACAGCCACATTGTTTCACAGTCTGCTTGTTGCTGAAAGCTTTACTGGTTCGACTATATAAGCAAAAATCAGGCAATCAGATGTAACTTTATTCTTTAAAAGTGCTATGGAGTATTCAAAAGCAATGCACAACAAATTACAAAATTAACAAAGCTAACCAGACCTTTTTCCCACAGCACAATTACTTCCATCTTTAGCTAATATGGCTATTGGTAAACTACTGCTTCCAATTAATTATCTTTCCCGAACGGAAGAGCACAAATTAATTTAAATGAATGACATGTAGTTAATATAATCCTTCCAATGTGACTCTATCTAAACGTTTTATTAAAATCCTATCAACTGGGCTGGGCACCGTGGCTCACGCTTGTAATCCCAGCACTTTGGGAGGCTGAGACAGATATATCACTTGAGGCCAGGTGTTTGAGACCAGCCTGGACAACACGGTGAAAACCCATCTTTACTAAAAATAAAAATTAGCTGAGTGTGATACCTAACAAACAAACAAAAAAAATCCTATTGAAAAAATGGACAGGAAAAAGAAAATAAATCCACTTATGACTAGACTGTACTAGATAATCTGCAAACTACCTATTTAAATTTAGAAAACCATCTTCAGAATTAAGCTATTTATACAACCTCTCTAGTATCTAGCTCTTGTTCTTTTTTTTTTTCTTTTTTTTTTTTTTTTTTGAGACGGAGTTTCGCTCTTGTTATCCAGGCTGGAGTGCAATGGCGCGATCTCGGCTCACCGCAACCTCCGTCTCCTGGGTTCAGGCAATTCTCCTGCCTCAGCCTCCTGAGTAGCTGGGATTACAGGCACGCACCACCATGCCCAGCTAATTTTTTGTATTTTTAGTAGAGACGGGGTTTCACCATGTTGACCAGGATGGTCTCGATCTCTTGACCTTGTGATCCACCCGCCTCGGCCTCCCAAAGTGCTGGGATTACAGGCGTGAGCCACCGCGCCCGGCGGCTCTTGTTTTTAAGTATATTATAGAACAATTTAACTTCTAATTAGCAATCATTACAACTTTCATGCTGTTGTTTATTGTTTGTCAATAAAAAGCATGGTTGCGGGGGAAAAAGCTGCTTGGGTGGTCTTCAGGACACAATGCAACTAAAGAGAAGCCTCAGGCTCTTCTCTTTAAGGTAACCAAGACTAACCAAAGACATCCCATCCCAATGTATCTTTGGTATATTAACACTTTAGCTAATCCCCTTAAACACACAACCTATTTATACCAAAGAAGTCAGAGGAGTTAAAGATTTACGGTTGTCAAGGCAAAAATGCAAATGATGTAATCTAACCCCTGCTTCAACTAAACCTAATTTACTGAATTTGGAAGTCGAGGATTTAGACAATTCTCTGGACAATCCAAGGAAACACAAATATGTGTGCTCACCAAACAAGTGGTTCTGCTTGTGTAGATACATGCACATTACAATTTTAACTGTGATCACGCTTACCTGGCAAATCCAACGGCATGGTTGAGACAGTCTGCTAGAGAGGTTTGCCTTTCTTCATCTTGTGCCAGCATCAGCTTTTCTAACAGAATTTTAAACTTCTCCATTAGTGGAGTCAACAGATTCCTCATTAAGGCTTGTTTCCTTTCTGCTGGGTATTCACTATTAACAATCAGAACTCCAGCTGTCTCATAAATAAAAAGTTGATCATCGCTGCTCAGTAACGACTGGTGGCCATTCTCCTAGAATGCAATTTAGTCTTACTAAAAGTTTTTGAGTTCCTCTCATTTAATGAGAAAAAGTGCATTAGGAACAAACAGTAAATGTAATCTATCACGCCAACTCATAAATCAAATACTTATAAAGACAAATTACCTCCCAGGATCATAGAATGAAAAGAAAACTGAATTAGAGGTCAACAGATCATGGTTCCAATTCCAGTCCTGACAAGACTCTACAAATGATCATGTAAGATAATTATTAAAGTTAACTTTCTAACTTGTTTCCTTTTGTAAAGATCTTATTTGTAAGATTGTTAAGAGGCTAGGCTGCATGTGGTGGCTTATGCCTATAATCCCAATACTTTGAGATGCTGAGGCGGGCAGATCACTTGAGGTCAGGAGTTTGTGACCGGCCTGGCCAACATGGTAAAACCCCATCTCTACTAAAAATACAAAAATTAGCCAGGCGTGGTGGTGGACCTGTAGTCCTAGCTTCTCGGGAGGCCGAGGCGGGAGAACTGCTTGAACCTGGGAGGTGGAGGTTGTAGTGAACCAAGACCAGAGCCAGGACCATGCCACTACACTCCAGCCTGGGTAACAGAGCCGAGGCTGTCTCAAATAAAAAGGGAAAACAAAAACAAAAACAAAATACTAGAGTATTACACTTCTTTTAAATAATTAAGTAACAAATACATAGTAAAGCATTATTTTGCGTGTGTCTGTCAGGGTGTTTCCAGAAAAGATTACTAAGTCCAAGTGAACTAGGTGGGGAGGATCTGCCCTCAGTGTTGGCGGGCACCACCTAACTGACCAGTTCTCTGAAAGAACAAATACAAAAGTTGAATTGGTCTCTCTCTCTGAAAGCTGGACAGACTTTTCTTCTGCTGCCTTGAACATCATAAATTTGACTCCACAAAAGTACAGTATCACAGCATAACTTTTCGTGTTAAGCACCGTGCATGTATACAAGAAGATATACATGCATATCTGTATATCTGTATATCTGCATCTATGAAACATAGAATTTGTTGTGATCTTGGCTCTCTGAGTGACTGCAAATGTTGTGGTGACCCATCGCCATTTTTTTAATCAATTTCCTCAAGACAGGTTGTCTGTCATGGTTATTTTAGATGAGTGCAGTTACAAAGCTGAGTGGCACACAATTGCTAACCACAGTGATATGCACTTACACATTTTGCTTTCTGATCTATTTCTTTATTAATAGTTTGCTCCTGTTTTACCCATGTAACTGTCATTTTTATAACTGTTTATGCTTACAAAAGCATATGTTATTATTGCCTATTTTATTGTATAAAGTGGCCAATGAAGTGCTGTCATGTTTTTACATGTTTCTCAAATACATTCCCTTTTAAAAATGTGAAACAATGTCTTCAAAATAATTTTTTTTTTCTGAGATGGAGTCTCACTGTCACCTAGGCTAGAGTACAATGGCATGATCTTGGCTCACTGCAACTTCTGTCAAATAAATTTTTAAAATTACTTTTTCCAGGATTATATTTTCAAGATTTTGATCTTTCAGAACTGTGATTTTTAGGATTCCAGGATTTTAATGCTTCGATTATGACCCAATCCCAACACCAAGATATTCAGATCGACTAGCATTTAAATTTTGTTTTACCCTAAGCCTAAAATGACACAGAAAACTTCAATCTAACAATAGCAGCTGCTAAGAATGGCTAATAAAATTATAGAACTAAACAGAATTAATTTAGAACTTGAATTTTTTCTTTAATTTTTCTTTAAAAAACTTTTAAAATATACTTTTCATCTTAACAGCAAACTCATCTTTTTTTTTTTTTTTTTTTTTTTTT